ATCTATCTATCTATCTATCTATCTATCTATCTATCTATCTATCTATCTATCTATCTATCTATCTAACTATCTATTTCATTTATACCCTGTGACCACTCTAGGCAGCTTTTTTTCTTAAAAAGAAAATGTCTTCATTTTGTTTGCCAATGAATAGTAATACTTCATGCATCCTATGAAGAGGACTCTGCAAGAAAACAGTCATGCTACATTTGTAACTGTTATTTATTTAAAATATTTTTAATACACTTTTCTCCTTCAAAAGGACCCAAGACAGCATACAAAAATTTAAAGAGTATTTGTTAGTAACAATTATACAATAGTAAAAAGATTAATGAATACAATACCAAAAAACATAAATAACACCAAAACACAGTCAAGGTACAATAATTCATTTTTAAGATCCCACTCAGCAGCCATTCACTCAGGGAAAAACTTGCCTGAATAGAAAGGCCTTTGCCTGCTTGCGACAGACAGTAAAGATAGGGCCAGTCTAGCCTCCTGTGAGAGGGAGTTCCAGAGCCTTGGACAAAGTGACAAAGAAGGCCCTGTCCAGTGTCCCCAATGTATAACGATATATATTTGCCTTTTATTTGTCTGCTGTAACTACCATGGCTATCTCTCCATACCATCTGCTGATTTATATTCCTTTCTTTTTAAATTGCAGGTGTAAAACGTACTCCTGAAGAGATGCCAGATGGTGAGGTTGATGTTGCTAGTACTGTTGGACCTTATGATATAAATACTTTGCGATATCCAGAGGAAGATTATGAAAAACTGGTCAAATTGAGTCAATACAATATCCAAAACAACAAAGACATGCTAATGAGGGCTTTACGAATAGCTGTGGAACGGAAAAGGCAGCATAACAATAGCTAGCAGCTTCATAATTTATGATGGCCATATTTGAGTCTTAGAAGAGAGACTCTCAACTCCTTTACATATTCGTCAACAGTGCAGTATAACAGACACTCCATTCTAGAATGAAAAACACAAAGAATATTAAAGAGACTACCCAATCTTTTTAAAGAGAAGATGTGTGTGCTATCTTTTGGAAAATCAATCAGTCGTAAAGGATGAAACACAACACTAATTACTATACAGCATCTATCAAGAAATGAAGCAGAGTGATCAAGTAATGCAAGAACAGAGAACCATTTACTGCGAAACTATTTGGGAATGGTCTGAACTAGTTATAATAGAAATGCATCTTTGAATAAAATATTGTAATGTTGCTATGTTGATGCTTTTTATTATCTACATATTCCATGGACAAAATTTCATTCCCAACAGATCTCTTTTCCTTTGGACTGGGCACATCTTAAGATATTGTTTCATGTTTCTGTACTAATTATGTATGAACTAGAGTTTTGTGTAGAGATTATTTTACTTTGGTATAGCATGATTGGTGCTAATTTAAAAATAAAAACCATTTTTTCTTGGCTCCATAACGTCACTTGGTGTCACTTTATAAAAGGACTCATAGGCAGAAACAGTCTTCTTTTGCTGAATCTATTTAGTCCTACCTAGCAGCACTAATTAATTTGCTGGTGAGATACAAAATGGGTTGATGTCTGCAACCATCAGCACCCATGCAATCAAAACTGTTAAAGATCGTGGCACCAACACTTATGTTTTGATAATTTTGGATGGGATGGGAGATCTTTATATGTTTGTGTCCTCTGAGGAGTAAAAAAATCCCTGAGAATTGAGACAAAAATTAAATAATAAATAAATAAAACAGGAGATTGAATGATGCTGTCTTCACCTGATACAGTGGACCCTCTACTTAAGGAATTAATCCGTATTGGAACGGTGGCTGCAAGTCGAAAAGTCTGTAGGTCGAATCTCCATTGACCTACAATGCATTGAAAACCTATTAATCCCATAACTAGCGGTTTTTATTCTATTTTTGTTCCATTTTGGGTTTTTTCTGGTCTCTAGGTCGATTCTCTGGCTGCAAGTCGAATCTAAATTTTGCAGCCAGAGAAGTCTGTAACTCGAAAAGTCTGTAAGTCGAGCCGTCTGTAAGTCGAGGGTCGACTGTAATCCTCCAGGAGGCACTTCCTCATAAGGTGCATTTGAAGTGGGCTGGTGTGTTCTAAATACTGTATGGCCTTTTGGGGTTGGTTAGAGAAGTGATACAGTATGCCATTTGTTGCGATTCTCACATCCAAAAGGCACATTTACAGGTCAAGCAACCCTATTTGCTCTGGCTCCTCCAGGAAGTGATTTTTTTTAAAAAAGGACTACAGTATAGTAAACCATCAATGACCCACAGATTAGACTGCAGAGTTTCTTGACTGGTCCTTCAGACAAGGCAAAGAAAAGATAATTATTAATTTTTAAAGAAGCAATGCAGTGCACCAGCAATTACAGTCTAAAAGATGTTTCCCTTCCTCTGCCCCTTCAGCCAGGACCAAAGGAAGTGTTCAACTTGCTGATATCCTTAAGCCACACAGAGCTAGACATCACTTACACTTTGGGGCTCACTAACAGTTAACTAAACCTTATCCACTTCCGAATAGCGTTCCCCCCCTCAGGTAGCCACAAGCTCCGTTTGCCATGTCATTTCTTTCCCAGCAGCAGGGCTGGGACCGTCCCCGCGGGGGTGACACGAAGGTTTGCCCCCAACTACCCACAACCCAACCGGCCCCGCTGCCTTTGGGAGCTGCCCTTTCTTGCTGATGTTGAGGGAAATCCTCGCCCAGCCGAGCGGCCAACCTTGGGCGACGGGGCGTGCCCGCGCCTTGAGCGAGGCCGGCGCAGAGGCCGACGAGGCAGGGCGGGGCCCGGAGCTTGCTGCCGGCTTGGCCTCTCGGTCGGAGCGGGCGAGAGGGAACAATTTTAGGCGGGCTGCCGTCGCCACCATCGCCGTCAACCACCACCCTCCCCCCCTTTCTCCCGTCGGGATGTTTAGTTGGCTGGGGAAAGAGAGCGGGCGCCAGAGGCCTGGCGAAGGCGAGAACGTGGTGGAGACGGTGACCGGCGGCCTGAAGGAGCTTTACTCCAAGAAGCTGCTGCCGTTGGAGGAGCATTACCGCTTCCATGAGTTCCACTCGCCCGCCCTGGAGGACGCGGACTTCGACAACAAGCCCATGGTGCTCCTCGTGGGCCAGTACAGCACCGGCAAGACCACCTTCATCAGGTAAAAGGCCTCGGGGAAGCGCCTTCGTCCCCCGCCGCCCACCCCTGCCCAGAGTAGACTAGTCAGTAAATGGCGCGTCATCTTTCCAGGTTTACGTCTCCTGGCCACGAAATGCCCCATCTCTCCCTACGTTACCCTGAGTAAATATCTCCCAGCATTGCTTCGCCTCAGGCGGTGCCCAGTGCTGTTAATGGTGAGGGTCGCTGTCGCAGGCAGACCTTTTTAATATAATGGCTCCTCCCCGGCTGGGGTAGCTCTTGAGCGGTTCCTATACGGCTTGGCAGGGCCTGCGAGGCACAGGGACCCGGGTGGGTGGGTAGTTGTAGGGGCAGAACACACACCGCTCTGTCCACAAATTTGTCAAGCTCAAATTGATTATCTCCCAGAAAACTATAGTCGAGCTTCTGTTACAATTTTCAGCGCCTTTATTTATTTATTTGACTCCCCTCCTGCTTGCTTAAAAAAAGGTATGCTTCCGGAAAACTTGCATAGATGAACTGGTTTCCCAGTAACCTAGGCATGGTCATCTACCAAAAACGGGTCAAGGAACTGTGTAAACCTAATATTGGACGTAGGCGGTAAAGTGTGATATCAGAGACCACCTGTGAAAAATTGGGAGTGCTTCCTTAGGCTGCTGTCAGTAATTTTCCTTTCTCAAGGGGTGGAAATTCAGAACCATTCAGTAAAATATATAGAAGCATATTTCTTGTTACTTCATTACTTCCCTTTGTAGTAGCAGGTTTCATATCAACTGCATTTCTTCCTTTATGTACACATAAAGCAGTATTCTTTTCCTAATTACTATTTTTATTCACATGTATCTTGATCTCAGGAATGAGGTAGGATGAATGGCTATTGGTGTATGCTTTCCTGACGCTGGGCCCTGTATCCTACTTTATAAAGAGCAGCAGTTTCCAAGCTTTTTGGTACTACATCCCCTTTTTATTCTTGAGAAACCCTCACACCTCTCCACTTCTCTTTTACCACCATCCAGCCCTTTTTAACAAACAAGGAGCAATGTGTAACTTAAAATTAAAAATAAAGAACAAAGTAGTACAATTATTTTACATCTATTTTCTATTATCAACTTTGAAATTTTTTTTAAGTTGATACTTTTTTTGGTTGTTACAGAAATCTCAGATTCATTCTTCCGTTCTGAAATTTCTTCACACTCCTCTTTCCCATTTGGAAACTAATGTCTAGTCAGTGGTTAGCTTGATACTGATGGTGACAGTCTCAGAGGCGTTGTTGTGAAGGGAAGTTGGGAAGGTGTTCAGTGTAGGGTAAGATATGATATGTAGGGTTAAATCTGGCTGTCATTTATTTATCATGCCCAGCTAGTGCAGCGGCCACTATTCTGGGTGGGATACAAATGACATAAATATACAGAAGCCATAATAAGATTCACATAAGGCACCAGACAAAAAAATAATGTACAAAAAATAGGAACCCCGAAACTAAACCAGCATTAAGTGAAAAAAATTAAATATACAGTATAGTAATCATCGTAGGTGGCAGATGACAGCAAGTACAAAGGCAGAGGGGTGGGGGTGGGGAAAATGGTTACTGGAGACAGGATTTATCAGGGGTAAGGGCAAAAAAGGCTTGTGATAACAGCTAGGTTGTGATCTGTGTCCTAAAGCCAAGGAGATATGGTGCTAATTGTATTTCAGATGGTAGTGAGTTCCAGAGCGAAGTGAACAATGTAAATGCACAACACAGTAGAATGGTTGTCTCACCTCTTATGAAGTTAAGATCAGCAAAGAGCTGTTGAAACCTGATATTTCCAGACACAGCCTTTGTAGAGGGATAAGAAGAATACCATCAACAAAGGTCCTGAAAAGCTCTTAAAAATTCCTAGTGTGGATTGTCTAGTGGTGTAGAGGAGGCAGTTTTCTTTCCAAGACTGAGTCAGGAGCCAGTTAATAGGATTTTTTGATTTCATCCCTTTCTGGCATATTGATCAAGAGGAAGTGTTCGCTGCTGGTTGCTAGGCTCCTAGTCAGCTGATCAGTAACTGTCATGATCTTTGTGATTCAGAGAATCTCAGATGTAAACCCATAAAGGTTTCCTGTTGCTAAAACACGCATATACAAAAAATGTAGAAGAACATGAGGTTAGGGATGGGAGACATGTATGGATATTTAATTTATTTTACATTGTATACAGTTCTGGTAAGTATGAATTTTGTACAGTATATGCTTCTCATTTAGCACAGGTTATACGTTTTTTATTAGCCATATTAAGTGAATGTTTGATTATGGTCTTGTTTGAAGATGGGCTTAGGCTGGTTTTCCACTGTTGTAATGCCAATCTCATCGCCACCAGGAATGCTTTAATAGTCAGGAGTTAATCGGTATGGTGAAGCAGAATGAGTGATGGGTTTGAATCCTCACTTCTCCATGGAAAGTCACAGGGCTGGAACTGATAGAACTAGTCCTTAAATATCTACTTATCTTTAAATCCCAATTAGGGTCCCTACAAGTTGGTTCTGACTTGAAGGCAAATAACACGCAATATCTGCTTCCATTTTTTCCTGTCCTAAAAAATTATTAATGATAATTTCTTCCTACCAAAATCATGCACAATACTCTTTCTTTGCAAGTTCACACATATACATCCTAAGGGTCCATGATTACATGTAGAGAAGTTATCATATGAACAAACAGTACATGGATTGAACTTGCAGCAATCTCTGATTCCAGGTGTTCTTTTTGAGCTGTAACTACAGAGAGATTACTCACTGCATGTATTATCTGGTTCATGCTACACATTCTCTTTTTTTAAAAATCATTTTCCATTGGGTAAGAAAGGTCATAGGGAGGGGGATTTGGAACAGGGTACTGGAGTAAATAAAAAAAATACAGAATGTGATAGAGAACAATATATATCATTATTACTTTTGCTGATATGTTTTCTTACTAATCTTATTTCAAACTTACCTTCCCATTTTTTCTAAGCCTTTAAAATTTACAATTATATCTTATATCTTCTTTCTTATAATTTTAACCCATTCATGTTCTAATCTCTCATCCAGTTATACAAAGGTTCCCACTTTTTTCTAGCCTCAACAATTTCTTCGTTTTTTAATACTTCAGTTAAAATATCCATCTCTGCTGCTTCAAAAAAATTTCTGTTAACTCCTGAATTGTTGGAGTTTCCTCTTTTTTTCATTCATGCAACACTTTCTCTGTGAAGAATATCTGTGGTGTGAAAACACGAGGGGAAATGTGTTAAGTATCAACCAATATTTTCATCTCCGAGGAGAGCGGAGAACGTCGATATATGTACCTCATCTGCCCACATTTACTATATTCTGCTGAAGTGGCTTTTCTTTCTTAACTTCCTGGCTTTGTGAAGATGAGACTTCCTTCTTACTGGTTCCAGATGGCATGCGTTTTGTTTCAAACAGGATTCTCAGTCTCCAGCAGACATCCTCTGTCCTTTAATGTGCATACAACAAAAATAATTTTTAACTTTGTAATTGGGTGGGGTGCCCTAAAGACATCTTCCCTGTTTACTCTCAGTCTGTCCAAATAAACAACTACTGGAATAATTTCATTCCGTTTTCCATATTGCTACAGCAGCTATGCTTCAAAGTGGTTGCTTTCAAACCACATTTCTTTGTATGTCATAGAGTTATGTCTTTCTGTCCATATATATAATATTTCTGTATTGGTTCTGATCTGCATAAGTCTCATAGGTATAATCAAACAGTGGAACTGTCTAATAAAAACAGTAATGCAGTGTTAGAGATCCAAACATTTTCATGAAAGATCAAAAGAAAAAGATATATTTTCAATAAGTACGTAAAGTTTGAGGGTACAAGGAAACAGATTGGCAATCAACTGCAGGAGGAGGGAGTCACATTTGCAGTCTCTCTGTCAACCTTAAAGAATCTCATATAAATTAAAACCAGCCAGTTGATTAACAGGTACAATTACACAGGACAACAGATGATGCCAACCCCAAGCTACTTTTGATTGTGTGATAATATTTGTCATTAAAACATTCCATTCCATCTGCCAATTCTGTTGTCCGTGTTCACTTTTCCTCTAATTTCTGTTGCGTTTTCTATTGACTTTTTTCTCATCTTCCTTTCAAGGGAGAATAACCATCTTTGCACTCATCTTTTCAGCTTCCTAATTGACATTAACCCTCTTAGCTGTCTTCAGTTTGCTGTTACTTCCTATGTTCTTTCATAGCTTTCTAAGAGATCACTTACCCTATATTTTGTGACCTAATTCGAGTAGGCACTGCATAGTTGGTTTAGTTGGAGCTCAGGCTAAGACTTAACTGGACTTTATCATTGCCTGGTGTGAACTTGAGAATTCACTCTAGAATACACTCATTCCTGCCTTTTAGTCTGCAAGAGTTTGACATTACAGATTTTTCCTACCAGAAAAACCCTGATAAATCCAGTATTTCTTGCAACACAGTTGGAAAATCATAACATTGGTGGAATAGAGTAGGGACTCTGGAATAACCATTGGTAGTGTTCTTATTTGAAACAAGTATTTGACTTGATGGAATTTCTGCCTAACCGCAAGTACTGTTTTCAGGAATTGTGTGGAAAAGGAAAGCTGAGATGGCTGCCGAAGACCAACAATCTACATTTTAATACCCACAGGATTTGTGTTTTGTGAACTACTATATATTTCTTAGCTTGTATTAAAATAGTCCTCCTGTGTAGCACACTTGTTGCTTTGTACCCTTGTCCCTCTTCTATTAGCTACTGGTCTCATAAATCTTTATATTTTCTATGGTGATACTGCATGGTGGAGAACACAACCCTCTTTAACCATATATTATAATGTGCCTACATTTTTAGATTTTAAAAAGTTGAAAACTGAGCAGGAATAGGAAAAAAAAGTATGCTTACTGGTTAGGGCACTAATTCTGCATCATATTGTGTTAAAATCTTTTGATCATGAGGAAGTTAATATTGAACAGCTCAAGGAAAGGCTGATACATTCTAAAGCTTTCCTGTTCAGATCATTCCTAATCTACATCTCTATCATGTCCTCTCATTGTCTTTGTGGTCCCCTCCCCCCCCAACTGAAAAGACCTTTCCTCTTCAGCCTGACCTCATTGGGAAGATCCTGTACTCCACTCCCCTATATCACAGTAGATTCCCTTTGCTGAACCTTCTCCAGATCTGTGGGGGTTTTTTGTTTGTTTTTAGAAATTGGATAGTCTGAACTATGTGCAGTATTCAAGAGATGGCTGTACACTATATTGCTATGATTGTATTCAGAGATTTACTACTGTACAGTACTGAGTATTCATTCTGTTCCTTAATAATTTCTAATATGAAATTTGATTTAATTACTGCAATAGAGTATTCAGCTCATTTCTGAGGGAAATGAGGCTAGCAAGTATAGCAGAAAGTATATACTTCCTAAATATGTGAGGAGAATATTGCTGAACCTTCTCCAGATCTGTGGGGTTTTTTTGTTTGTTTTTAGAAATTGGATAGTCTGAACTATATGCAGTATTCAAGAGATGGCTGTACACTATATTGCTATGATTGTATTCAGAGATTTACTACAGTACTGAGTATTCATTCTGTTCCTTAATAATTTCTAATATGAAATTTGATTTAATTACTGCAATAGAGTATTCAGCTCATTTCTGAGGGAAATGAGGCTAGCAAGTATAGCAGAAAGTATATACTTCCTAAATATGTGAGGAGAATACAGAATTTTTTTTAACCTAACAATGCTCTAAATGTACTGGAGCACAATTAAAATGGAATGGAGCCTTCATTTTTATTAGAGACAATATAGAATGCCATGCAAAAAGGATACATTTCTCATGGCTACAATTCAATATTTCTTGCTGGGTACAGCAGGAAGTAGTTAACCTAATAACATGCTGGTAAGTAACTTGGTGGGGAGGATATAATTTTCACCTAACTCCACTAGTCTATTAGAGAGAAGATTGCTGTCTGGTATGCAGGTTAGAATTGAATTGTTCTGGCTTTTATTGTAACTGTCAAGAGACATGTATTTATTAATATTACTAAAATAAGTAGATAATAAACATTCAGGGTAAGATTTAACAAGTCAAGTCATTCTAATGTCTTTCATAGGAATAACATGCCGCTATACTGGCTGCTCAAATATTGCCATTTGACCACTAGTTATTTGGCCATAGGAAATAGTATGTGAAGCAGAAAATGGCACTATACAATGGTAGTTTACAGTGGTGCCTCGCTTAGTGATTGCTTCGTTTAACGATGTATTCGCTTAACAATGGGTTTTTTAAAAGAATTTTCTGCATCGTTTAACGATGTTTCCTATGGGCGATTTCGGGACCATGCTTCGCGTAGCGAATGCATTTTGGGTCCCCTGTTTCGCTTAATGACGTCCGTTTTTGCAATTTTAAAAGTGTCTTAAAATGTTCAAAAACTGTTTTAAATGCTTGGAATCGTTAGTGCACCTTCTAAAACGTGTGCAAACTTAATTTGGCTTTGTTCTGAGTCTTCGTTAATTTTTGGTGAATTTTTTCTCCCCCATTGGAATGCATTGGAGTGCCTGTTTGACAGCTGTCAAACTTGAGTTCAATGCATTTCAATGGGGGGGAGGGTTTGAAAGTCACGAAAAATTAACGAAGACTCAGAACAAAGCCAAATTAAGTTTGCACACGTTTTAGAAGGTGCACTAACGATTCCAAGCATTTAAAACAGTTTTTGAACATTTTAAGACACTTTTAAAATTGCAAAAACGGACGTCATTAAGCGAAACAGGGGACCCAAAATGCATTCGCTATGCGAAGCATGGTCCCGAAATCGCTAAGCGAAAATCGCCCATAGGAAACATCATTTCATTATGGTGTCATTTGCTAACAAATTAGGGTGAGAATTTCTTGTCTTCTGGCTTTGCAGTACCTGGGGCAAAACATGGCAGCACAGAAAAAACATCTTCACATCTAATATGCTTTAAAATGAGACAGGGACGTAAGAGATTCAGAGTTGACTCAATACTAAGATAAACTAAGTGTATGATCAAACACGGTTTTAGATCACATTTTGGAGTACTGACAGCACAGTCTGGTTCACCCTGTTTTCCAGACAACGTACTGCAGATCATGCTCCAGCCCAGCTCTGTTTAATCCTACATCCAGTCCTTTTTGGTCCAACAGTAGTGTTGCTCTTTTTTCAGAATGGGCTTATGGAAGCAGAACCTGACTGCTTTAAAGGGTCCCTTTTAAGATTGCGCTCAGGAAGGGACCTTTTCCAATGCAATTCAGTGAAATCTTCAGGTTCCCATCTGATCACACCCAAAGAGTATGAGATATTAATTGATTAATGTGATAATGTAGATGGAAGTGAGAATTTATTTCAGCCTAGTGATGCTTGAGGACTTGGCCTGATTTTCCTAAACAGAAATGTTTTTGAAAGCTGACTTTTTAAAATGCTGTTCTTTCTTACATTTATTTTTAAATTCAATTTTGAGAAATCTGGAGGTGCGAACTGATCATGATATTCCAGGGTAAAAGTCAAAAAAGAAGAATTTTTCACTGAATCAATTCATATTTACTGAATAGTGTTCAATGCTATAATAATTCACTACATTATTAGTGGGACTGAATCTAATTGTTAGCTTCAACTAAAAGAGATCCATTGCATCACCTGCTGCTTGGTAAGACAACATTAGTGTAAATCCACCTGATGTAATGGGTCTACTTCAACTGGGACTGTAAAGTAGATTCAGGTCAACATTTCACATTAATAGCTAAAATTACCTGTTTTTCCCATTAGTAAAAATATAGAACCTCCTAGTTGTTATATTTTTATTTTTTGTTCTAATAAAGTAATGCTTCAAAATATAAACAATAGCTTGGCTATGATTGGCTGGTTGACCTAATCCATTTTATTGGTTGCAGGGTGTGTCCCTTGTTGTCTTCTTTGAAGTTTCATAGATATAAAGATTTGTTTCTATTTAGAACTTTGCAGTTATTTTGTAAATATAAAACATGAAGAAGTAGATACTACTCATCCATTCAATCATTCATTCATACTGGTAGCTCGGTGGTGGTGTTGTAATTGTGGAAACTGCTAGTCAAAAAGGAGCTGAATTATCTAACTATTTTACTTAGAAGAAAGGTTCTTCCTTTCTGTTCCCTACTGTCTTGTTTCTCGGTTGATTGTTTCAGTGTTGTATTCTTATTTCTTTTACCATAATTAGGTACCTTTTGGAACAGGACTTTCCAGGAATGAGAATCGGTCCAGAACCAACTACAGATTCTTTCATTGCTGTCATGTATGGAGACACAGAAGGAAGCACTCCAGGAAATGCTCTAGTAGTAGACCCAAAGAAGTCCTTACTGTCTTGTTTCTCGGTTGATTGTTTCAGTGTTGTATTCTTATTTCTTTTACCATAATTAGGTACCTTTTGGAACAGGACTTTCCAGGAATGAGAATCGGTCCAGAACCAACTACAGATTCTTTCATTGCTGTCATGTATGGAGACACAGAAGGAAGCACTCCAGGAAATGCTCTAGTAGTAGACCCAAAGAAGCCATTCCGCAAACTTGATCGTTTTGGAAATGCATTCTTAAATAGGTAAAGAAAGTCTGCGTATGATCTCCTTTTAGTCTGTTTGAGGTGGGGTGGGGAGATTGGGGGAGACAAGCTGAGTGCTCTTCCTAAGTACTTGCCTTGGACATTGCATTGAAAGTGGCATCAATCTGAGTTTGGTGACTTATGAGTATACTGCTGCTATTCAGCTAGACCAATGGTTCCAACTTTGGCTTACCAGATGTTCTTGGACTACAGGGACGTGGTGGCGCTGCGGGCTAAACCGCAGAACTGTGCTGCAGGGTCAGAAGACCAAGCAGTCGTAAAATCGAATCCACGCAACGGAGTGAGTGCCCGTCGCTTGTCCCAGCT